GTAATCATGTGGTGTTTCACAAATCCACACAATATGCATATCATTCGATAGACCTCCTCATAATGCACAACTTTGCCTCAAGAACCATTGCTGTTAGTCAAATCGTTCATTAATTATTCACAAATATGTGCAAAACCTACTTTTGCGAACTAGTCCTAGGTTTTTCGCTCGATCAAACCACTGCAGCGATATTCTCTGGACTCTTTAGATCAATAATTATCAAAAAAATGTTGAATTTTGTCCTTTGGTTATCTTTAACGGGGTAATTTAGAAAAGGGGTGTAGTCAAATATACCCATAAGCCTATAAAACCTAAACGAAAACTCAAATCTTTACGGAACTTGGTGAAACCATGTGTCAGATGACTATTAACAAGCATGCGAAGTTTCATGGAGATCGGACCATAGGTGGCGCTATAACAGTTAAAAAGGCCTCAAAAACACAATATTTGTATAGTAAATGACCTCAAATTGTAGAACATGTTCATATATTCACACATACACTAGATCTTCATATCAAATGATAGATCTCCTCATTGGAAACAACTTTGTCTCTGGGACTAATGCTGTCAATCAAACTGGTCATTAAAAATGTTAGATTATTTTAAAAACCTACTTTTGTGAACTAGTCCTCGGTTTTTAACTCAAAATCAGTGCAGTACTATTCTCTAGACTCTCTAGGTCAGTAATTATCAAAAAAATGTTGAACATTTGCATTTGGACAACTGTAAACTGGTCATTTTATAATATGTTCTTTACAGAGTGTACCCAAAGGCCTATAAATCCTAAAATAAAGCCCACAATATCTCTCAAAACTGTGTAAAATGATGTATAATTTCATTCTAAACAAGCATGCAAAATTTAAGAGAAATTGGAAATTGCATCTATAACCACTAGATGCAGCGGAAGACCACTAATGGCCTCATTAAATGCACTAACACAGTACTGTTCAAAGGTTTGATGGATTCATGCTTACATATGATAAAATCACTGTTAAAGCAGAAAATTAAATTTTACCATTACATTTGAAAATATATTAAAACAGCAAACAGTTATTTTAAATTGTAATATTGTTTCACAACATTACAGATTTTACCTTTTTTTTTTTTTCAAACAAATGCAGCCTTGGAGAGCAAAACAGACTTTAAATAAAAAAATATATATATCTTAACACAAACTTTTGAACGATATGTGTGAAAGATATGACTGCTACGTTGGAGGGGAAGATAATCAGTTTCTCATACAAAGCTATCATATGGCGTCAATAGTCTTGAAATATAGTGGAGTCATATGGGCTACTTATATGCTGCTTTTTATCAATTGAGGATTTTGAAAGGCTTGATTTTTTTTCTCTTTTTTTTCATAGAACACAAGTGATACAGGGTGAGCAAATGGCAGAATTTTAGTTTCCTTTAACGCTATCCAAGAAGCTTTTCGAACTAACCACATTATAAACCTGAGACCACCTATAGAGCCTCATGCAGTTCTCACAAAAATTCAAATAATGGGTCAAAGTAACATGATGAGCTTCATGTCCTCAGGGGAGGAGGTGCATCTGAGAGGCCACAAGGCCATTTCAGATATTGCTGTTGTAGTTTGAGATGGAGCTGCAGGTGTGTCCATTGACAATTTTCAGCGAGGGGCTCCTGACATTCATAATCTGACATAACCTGAAGCAAGAAAATTTAGAGCGCGGGAGTATATGCTCAAGGTGAAACGATTTAGATGACCAGATCATTTTATGACCAAACCAGCCAAGAGAAGTAAAACTTCCCAATGCTACTTCCTTCTGAAAGTGTAAGCCAGAAACACACTCACATGCACAAACTCCCTTTTGATCTTGCACACCAACATCTAAAAGCACAATACAATCATAAACACCATTTTTCAAACACTTAACATCACAGTCATTTGAAGATAAGTGTTCGAGGAAAAGGGGGATTTGTCAGCAGCAACTTGACCATGAAAGCAGCCAGCTGAATTTCATTATGGCGCTGAGCTTTGAATAAGCCAGAACTAAAGAACTTCAGAAAAGAGAGGGGCTGAACACACCTGTGCATTCGTGTTAGCTTCTGGCAGGGGGGCCAAAGGTCTGACCCAGGCTCAAATGCCCCCAACCATTACTTACGACAACCATGCTGATCCCCTTTCTTCCAAATCCAGCTTCAAAGCTTATAATTATCTTGACAGGCACAGGGGGGTTCTGAAACTGCAAACCATTTTTATTCTGTCTTTGGGTTTCAGCCTAAGCAATGTGAAACTCAAAGAAATCATCTTTACATGCAAGGTCAGACAAACACTGCAGCATATTAAGAGTGCTGCATTGGATTATTAAATGCATAATTGAAATAATTCAACCACACGGTCATTACCCGGTCCATCTGAATCAAATGTATCCAGGATATTCCAAGAACCCAACATCAACTTGCTGGAAAAGTCAAACTTTAAACTTTGAGTGCAAACTCCTGCAGGCGACTGATGCATTAGACAGCCAGTTCTAAACTGAAGATCGGGCTGAAAGGTCCTAAACCTGATCTAGGTCAGCTAAATATAAAATACTTATTTAAGCCCTGAAGATAAAGTGACTTAATCATAACTACAGACCAGTTAACAGAGCCTATTTTTGTCATTATCACCCTCTTGTCTGGTCTGTTCGCCTTAAACGGCGTCCTGCGATACAACTCTAGATTCACTAGTAAGTGCAGGCAAAGTGTTTGCTTATCAGTAACAAGGACATCACTCTAAGCTACTACAGCCTCCTCCTGTTTGCATGAAACGTAAATATATGCAATATATTATAGAATCTATGAAATAAACAAATGCATTGTTACTTCTTGAAACAAACAACTTTATAACTCCAAACAAGACAACAAACAGCATGAAATGGTCACTGTTTAGAACAAATTTGTCTGACTCCAAAGCAAGACCATATAAAGAGTCTATTTGTGCCTTTCCAAACCAAACCACCTTATCTAGTGTTGTCAAAGGTTATTGAGATATTTAAGATGGTAGAAAATAAGATTGTTGTGGAATGCCTTAATAAAGAATGATTACAGATAAACTATACCGTTCAAAAGTTTAGAGCCGGTTTTTTTTTTATTCTCTCTTTTGTTTTAAAACTTAAAAAAAAATAAAAAGTTTAACATTTTTTAATATGTCTCTAACTCTCTTATGCTCACCATGGCTGCATTTGTTTAATAAAAAATACAGTACAATAATATTGTGAAATATCAGTATAAAGATTAAGAAATATCCATTTGAAATAATTGCTTTCTATTTTAATATATTTTAAAATGTAATTTATTCCTGTGATGGCAAACTGAACTTTCAGCAGTCATTACTCCAGTCTTCAGTGTCACATGACCCTTCAGAAATCATTCTAATATGCCAATTTGTTGCTCAAGAATTTTTTTTTTATTATTATAAATGTTGAAGAAGACAGCTGTGCTGCTTAATATTTTTGTGGAAACTGTGAAACATTTTTCAAGATTCTCTGATTGAGAAATTTCTAAAAAAAAAAAAAAAACAGCACGCATTTGAAACAGAAATATTGTGTAACATTATAAATATCTTTACTGAAACTTGAGGCCAATTTAATGCATCCTTGCAAAATAAAAAAAAATCAATCTATTAAAAAAAATCTTACTGACCACAAAACTTTGTGTAATGCATATAGCAAGACTGATCTTATTCCTGCATTTGAGAAATTTTAGGTAATAATAGTGCATTTTTATTTGCATGAATATTTTTCATGCAAAAAAAGATTTGCCTCTGTTCTATTGAACAGTGTAATGTCATAGATAGAGCATGACATTGACTTGCACTCAGTGCTGTGTAGTAATGATAGCTGCTTTCGAAGAATAGCTGAGATCCGTCCTTTATAATCCAAAAATCTAATGTTAAATTGCTAAGTAGCTTAATTATAACAGAAAGGGTTGCATGAGCTAATATACACAGTAGAATATGTTGTTACAAATGGACAAAAAAGGTCTTTCAAAAGTAAAAAGCTGACCAAATACAGTAAAATACCTTACAAAACATTAATTGGTTTTGTTCATGCATTGTTATACTTATTTGCTAGTAGTTGGTGTCTATTCATGACCTGAGCACAGATTTAGGAGGCCGATTTGGAATGCACCTCTGATTCCAGTTCTTCTCTATTTTGGAATGTGTTTCATCTCTTAAAGCTGGACTCTATAACACCAGGAACTAATCTACAAAGCACAAACACACATTTACTAAATGGGGATATTCCATAGACTTTTATTGTTTTTATATATAAAACTAATTATGAATGTTATAACCTAACCCTAACAAAAACTTTCAGCATTTTACAATCTAAAAGGGGAAAAAAAACAATATTTTAGACCATTTTTACAAATGAGGACTTCCCCAAAAGGAGGTTTTGTTGCATTTTTGACGCCAGACTAAATTGGGGTTAGGCTGAGCCAGCCAATACTACAAGGCTTTTGTGTGAGTCCAAGTGCAGTACAATTATCTGACAACACTGCCATCTACAGGTTTCCAACATACACAGTTTCAGTAAATGAGTGCATGAGCACAAATACAATAGAACTAATTAACGAACCAACGACCCAAATACAAGCACAAATACAATTAAAATACATAAAACTATTACGTTTTCTTCCCTCTCAATCAAATCTCAATCAAACAGTCAAAATAGAAAGAAAAACATACATACCAAAAAACATCCATTATGTCCAATTATCTCGCTTTAAGAAAAAAAAAGTCATGTAAAGCATGCATGAAAGCATCTGAGGGAAAACAGTTCACCCCATGTAGCGCTGCAGAGCAAACTCACCGCTTCATTTAACAATGATCCAGCCCTTTTACTCCACAGGGTGTATAGAGGGGACAGGCACACAGAGTGGGTCCCCATCTACAACACACTGTCTCACTATCTGTCCCCCCTTTTCTCTGACAAATGGATGTCTTTTCCTACTCACCTCGTTCTATTACTTTTGCAACTAAATGAAACAATGTGTTGTTGTTTTTTTTCAATCTTTTGTTTCCATCCTATCTCCTCGCCTCTGTCCAACTGTGCATTTGACCAAGGACAGACTGGAGCCAGTTATTTGTTTAGCTCTCCAGTGGAGCCAGGCAGACTGAGAGGCCCAGCGGCCGTTCTTCTCGTGATAAAGAGTTTGAGAGGGCTGGATGCCAAGGGAGCCTCCCAGAGTTACAGCCATTGAATGCTCCACTACCATGCTTTATTTATCAAAATGCATATCAAATTATACTGTAGTGCTGGGCGGTATGACCAAAAATTTATATCACGCTATTTTTCAAAATTATACCAGTTTCACGGTACATGACGGTATTTTTTTTT